ATATATATATATATATATGTTGTGTAGTTAGAGAAGGTATATGTTGATCTGCCAGCGAAGCAATTAAGACATAGAGAGTACCTAGAGATTAAAGCAATAAAATTTTATTTTATGTCTTGTAAGACAAGCAATGTGATTAATGAAGTTTATTGACAGAAAAAACAAGGCATTACAAAGATATGGAAACAATAATAAATGTAAATGAAAATGAGTGTGGCAATTGGCAAATGTCACCATGAGATGCGCACTTTTTTGTACATGACAAATAATATATAGACCCGATTTAGAAAAATACAAAAGGCACTGTATATAATAAGTAAAAAAAACATCCAAGAAAATAAGTCATTATCAGAAAAATGTGATTCAACTTTCTCACAATTTTTTATACTATCAAGCATATCTTATCATAAGAGTTAATCCCTTTTGGGGTGTGTGATTGTCCCTCAAAACAATTATCACTATCAAAAATTAAACTGTTAAACTTTTGGCCACCTTATACAGTTGTATCACTAACCCAATATCTTGTTGATTTACAAATATCTTGTCAAAGTCATTTTCAAGTGAAACTATAAAAGAGATGTTTCAGAGTCTAATAATCTGAAAAGTCTTCATAGCTTTAAGACATAGATTAACAAAACTGTCAAAACCCATATAATAAAATCTTCAAACTACAAGTTAAAAAAAATGAGTATCACTTGTAATCTGCATAAGATATTGTTTTTGTAAAAAATAATTTCCTATTGTCCAGATTTCTGTGCTTTTTTTGGTGGACTAGCATTTCAATTATCTGTTTTAAAATGGATGCAGCAATTACTTTGTTAATAACAAACCAATAGTTCATGAAGAAATCACTCATGATGCACAATATCACTGCCAAAAAAAATTGGATGCCATTTATTAGGGTAGGTCACAAACCCAACAGAATTTGCCACCATTTACTTCTGTTCATAAATGGCTTGGCCTAATAACATGACCTCTACCAAACTAATTCTACTTAAACAGTTATTTCCACTTAATAAGAAAAACTAACCTATTCCTTTCAAAATTTTGAATATATGTACCTTTAATTCTGTTCAGAATTTTTTTTCTTCTTAATAAAAAATCGAGTTTGAATATAAAAACACAGTTTATAATTGTAAAATATATTTAGCCAATAATTTTTTCCGTTATATGAAGGCAAATTTGTCAAAATTGCTATTGTCATAATCAAGGTAGGATCCAGAGGCCACATGTAGAGTAGTACCACAGTTCTAGGGAACAAGTTGAAAATTAAATCAATACACCAATTACCGTACTTTTTAAAAAACAGGGGTATTTTTGGAAAAGTTAGTGAACATTATTAAAAAAGAAAGCAAAATAAAAAATATAGAGGCTGTAAAGGTGATGGAGTGGCCCAAATCACAAACAAGATGATATAAAAATAAATGTAGGATAGATTAACTTATGTTAAATCCACAAATCCAAAATCTATTGGACTGATGAGGATTAGTTTAAGAGATCAAGTAAACGGCCAATAAAATAAGACTTGAATTTATAGACCAAATATTATTGATTGAGGGACAAATACTTGATTTTACTTATATTTTCAATGACGAAATTGTTATTCTATTATTTAAAAAGATAAAAATGTCTTATCATATTTTTTGTAGTACTTGTCTATCTATTAATAGAGGTGATCTTTGCTCGAATTTATAAGGTCATCTAAGGATCCTGAGAAGCTTTTATCATTTATTAGGTTTAAGAGAGAAAATGTGATGAAAAAAGATAAAAGAGAAGTATGAATAGAGAAAAATAGTTGATTATAAGAAAGAAACATGAGAAAAAATTAAAAGAGAGAAAATATGTTATTATTAAAAATAGACATTTTATCCTTATATATTATAATGAGTAATATATGATAAAGATAAACCTATTATAGGAAATGTAAAAAATTACTATGGGAGTCCATAATTTTTATTTTCCTTCTATCTATACTTTATTCTTACCTATGACAAAAAGAAGCTAATTCTATTTTTACTTTATCTTCCATTTGTCTTGGTATGGCTATACTCTCTTCTAGGGAGAGTGAAATTTAAGATCAATTTTCTCAAAATAGCTTTATTAGGGAATACATCATCTGTGGGACTTAGGTGCATATGAGTAAGTCTATCAATCCGATTTAGTGATTGGATATGGCTATTATATCACCCATATATAACATCATCTGACTTTCCTTCATAACAAGTGTCATCATTAAAAGGTCAATCCAAGAAATATGTTAGGCCTTGTTTGGTCATTTTAATTCCCCACAAACACACATCTTAAACAAAATCACGCACCTTCAATATTCATCCTCATCCCGATAAAAGTTAAAAAATAAATAATTTGAATAAAAATCAGAAAGTAGGTAAGAAAATATTTAAAAAGGTAAATAATAAAAGAGGAAATACATTAAAGTGTGGCCGAAATAAGCTGGCCTTTAACTAAATATAGCTGGACAGAGAAAAGCCTACTTATTGTCTCTATCGTCTCTTACCGCAGTTATTCAAATATCTCTGAATTTATTTATTATTTTTGTTTCATAAATAATTAATACCCATAAATTCATGCATATATTTTTCTGTGCCACTTTGTTTTACATGCGATGAACAAAGGTTGGTGGATTTACCAAAGCGGGCATTAAAAAAAGTTTGAAGATTCCACAAAAGAGAGGAAAAGGAAAAATGTTAAAGTTAAATAATGGAAAGCAAAATTAAGAAAAGGAAAAAATATTGATTCTTATTACTATGTATTAGATCCCAAGAAAAATAATAATATTAATAAATTCACCTCCATCACACACCTTTCATTACATACATTCATGTATATAGTCCTGGTAAGTACTATACATAAAAATATAAAAACCCATCATCAATATTCATAGAATTCACCACCATCGTTTTATATTTTTATTTTTTCTGTTCCTCTCAGGTGCTGTAATTGCAAAATAGTGAATGAGGGACGGAGAGGTGGCGGCGGCGGTGGTAGGTGGTGGTGGATCAACTTCAGGAGATGAAGAGAGAAGAATGGAAGAAGGTGAGCGAAGTGGTTTAGGTGGAAACCGGTGGCCAAGACAAGAGACTTTGGCTTTGTTAAGGATACGGTCGGATATGGACGTGGCGTTTCGTGATGCAAGTGTTAAAGCTCCCTTGTGGGACCAAGTCTCGAGGTCCAATAATCTCATTTCATTTTTTTTAAATTTAATTTATTTGCTTCTTTCTTCTCATTGATTTCACTTACTTCAATGTAAACTATGGTGTTCTATGAGTCTCCTCTTTAATTTAAGGGTTGTGGAGATCTCAGAATTCAGTTCTGCTTGAACTTTGATTATTGGAAATGTATTATATCTACTTCCCTCTCTCAATCATTCAGTATTTTTCTTCATTCCCTTTAAATCCTCCTTTTGTTTTCTTTTTCTTTTTACCTTTTGAGTTTGTGTTACTATAAAAGAGTTTAGATGTGTAGAGTATTCATGATTTGGGTGTGATTTGCTTTCCAATCATCCACTCTGGTTCGTGTTTTATTTTCCAAATAAGTTACCAACTTGGAATTACATAGTGAAAAGCAAGATTTTCTTCCCCCTTTTATTTCAATTACCAACTCTTACAGGTAAATTATCAAATCCTCTAACTTTGGTTTCATGAGAGACTTTTCTGCTATCAATCCTTGGGATTTGTTATCAATTACATCAAGTTTGTTGTTTTCTCCCATCTCTCCTTCACTTACTTTCATCTCCATTGATATTCCTTGCTACTTCAATTAATTCACCACACATAATGTTATGCCCCCAATGCTTTTTACCCTTTGTCTTTTAAGCTGAATTTGATAAACCGAGATAAATATCTTTTTTTTCTTCCTTTTTTAATCATTTGTCTTGTTTTTGGGACTTTCAGGAAGCTAGCTGAGCTGGGGTATCAAAGAAGTGCGAAGAAGTGCAAAGAGAAATTTGAGAACGTGTACAAGTATCACAAAAGAACCAAAGATAGTCGAAGTGGCAAATCAGAAAGCAAAACTTATAGATTTTTTGATCAATTACAAGCTCTTGAACATCACAACCCTCCAACAGCTCAATCCCCTAACACACAAAAACCACCACAATCATCACTAGCACCACCACCAATATCATCATCAATTGTAGCAACTACAACAATGACGCCCGCAAGAACAAAAACAGTGCCAATGCCACCAGTGGCTAACACCACTCTCAGTATTCCATCAACAACAATGCTACCTATGGCAATTCCTCAAGGCATTGTCACTTCTACCCCATCTATTAACCTCATAAATATCCCTTCCTATCAAACTACAAACCCTACAAACTTCACACCACCGCCATCAACAAACCCTACCACAAGTGCCACAATTCCGATATCTTTCCCGAACGTCCCAAATAATGTCGTGTCCAACTCAAGTATCTCTTCCTCATCGACTTCTTCCGATGAAATGTTGGAGGGGAGGCGCAAACGGAAGCGCAAATGGGAAGACTTCTTCAACAGACTAATGAAGAAGGTAATGGAGAAGCAAGTGGAACAACAAAGGATATTCTTGGAAGCTATAGAGAAACGCGAGCACGAGCGAATGGTGAGAGAAGAAGCATGGAGAGTGCAAGAGATTCAAAAGATCAATAGGGAGAGGGAAATTATAGCTCAAGAAAGATCCACAGCCGCTGCCAAGGATGCTGCAGTCATGGCTTTCTTGCAAAAGATAGCTGAAAGACAAAATTTTGGACAAGCATTGAATAACTTTACTATTCCGCCACTACCACAGCAACAGCAATCTCAATTACAACCACAACTGGTGGCACAACCAATTGCACCACCAGCACCAACTATTGTTCCAACACTTGTGCAACAACAAATACAACTTACTGTTCAGCCTGGCCCAGCACTGCAACCCGTGGTCCCACCACTACAACAACAAGTCACAAATACAGAAATCGTGAGAGCTGATAATAATGGGGAGAATATGATAGGAGTGAGCTCATCAAGGTGGCCAAAAGTGGAGATAGAAGCCTTGATAAAGCTGAGAACTGAGCTTGACGCGAAGTACCAAGAGAACACACCAAAAGGACCACTTTGGGAAGAGATCTCATCCTCAATGAGGAAGCTTGGGTACAATAGGAATCCAAAGAGGTGCAAAGAGAAATGGGAAAACATCAACAAGTACTTCAAGAAGGTGAAGGAAAGTAACAAGAAGAGAACACAAGATTCAAAAACATGTCCATATTTTCAGCAGCTGGATGCATTATATAAAGAGAAGAACAAGATGGTGCAGCAGGAGAGTATGGTGACGGCGCTGATGGTGCAGCCAGAACAACAATGGCCTCCTCAACAGCAGAGAGAAGAAGATAATGATGAAGATGATGATTTTGATGATGAATATAAAGAAAGTGAAGGTGGCAAGTATGAAGTAGTGGCAAACAAGGCTGCATCAGGTGAGTAGTACCGTATTGAAAGGTGCAAAAATGCCCCAAAAGAGTGACACGTGTGAGTGTCAAAGAGAGTACTTGCAGGGGTTGTCGTAAAAATTGAGTGTGGGGTAGAAAATAGTGGTGGTTGGCGGCTATTGGTGGTGGTTGTGGAACTGTGTAAGAGTTTGAATATAGGTGTAAGTTACAATGACATACTGATATTGAAGCGGTGGGTGTGGGGTTTATTGGTACTTTTGTTGAAGAATATAGTCACAGACATTATATGTTTTTTTTCCATTTTATGAAAAAACATTATTTATTTATTGGGATATTTAATAACTTGAATCAGAAATGTATTCAAGAAAGACATAGATATCCAGGTTCCAAAATAATGGATCATAAGGAAGAGAGAGACCCCATGTTTTTTACTTTTTTGTTTTTCAACCTGTTTTATACTTTTTGTTTATAGTGGTGTAATTGAGGTGGGATATTGATTGAGTTTTTGTGATTTATTTATTTTTAAAATTTTAACATTTTGTTATTCTTCATAAGTTAATGACAATAAGGCATTGGTCTAATAGTTTAAAACCTAATTTAATTTCCAAAAAGATAAGAATGTCAAAAATATTTGATTCCTTAAACGACAATTATTGAAAGTGACAGTCACAAATTCAAAAAAATGTTGCCAATGATTTTTTTTAAAAAAAAATAGCTTATGTTTCCTCTGAATCTTATTATAAGGTTATTGTAATCCAACTGGAAAGTGAATATTAGTTATATTTTGCTTGATTTTTGAACAAATATTGCAATATTATAACTTTATTGTCTTGGCTTTTTTATTTATTTAAAAGTTCACATATTATTTTTTCATTAATGAATAAAGTATAAATAAGAGAAAAATTAATAAATATCACATAAAAACATAAAATATTTTATAAAAAGAATACCAAACTCTTCAGAATAATCTCTTTTACTGCGAACCAGAAATAGTTTATATTTGGGTGAATTGATTGTCCCGTTTCTCTTCTGTGCTAGTAACTCATTTGTCAGGATAGTAGTAGTGTATCATAAAAATGATGAAAACTTCACGGCTGCACTATTAAAATTGAATGCATTTGAGAATGAAAACAGAAAGTATTTTTTCCACTTGATTATAATAAAACAATCTGTCCGAGCTTTCGTCACTTAGATTTGTAATATGCCAAATTTTTTGATAGAGTTCCTAATTAATATAGAAGGACCTTAAATTATACGGATTTTTTGTGTAGTCTTACTTTATTAATAGAGGTCTCTTTATAATATGTAAATAGCATTAAATAATTCATATTAAATAATAAATATTCCTAATAATTACGCTCTATACTTATGGCCTTATTTATATTTCAATAATGATAATTAAATTAGATAGAAAAGTGAATGAAAATGATAATTTTAGATTGCAACATACTTTTTTTGATAATTTTAATAACCTGCTTCTGTGAATATATGTAAATGAGATAAATATAAGGGGATTGTAGAGAAGAGACAGTGACCTAACCTTTTGCATTGTAAGAGGGTGCTTCCAAAAACAGAAAATGGCAGCAACACACATGGAATCATAGACCCTTGAAGGAGGGTCCACCAGAAAAGGAATCATGTAAGTTGTGTTAATGAAAACAGTAATCTGAAAAGAACCTAAAGCACTAGCATGCAGTTGTTGTCTCTGTGGTACTGTACAGACAAGGTGATGAGCTTCTTCTCTTCATGATTGTGTGTCAGTACTAAGAAAGAGATGATGAACCTTCATCATCACCATCATCTTTTGGCTTAACCTTTTTCTGCCATTAAATGTGCCACTCTTAGGCTTTCATCGTCAACCGCTGAAATATATTGATGCACATTATCCTTAGAATATGTGTTAAAAAAATAAAAAATAAAACAAAATAACTATGCTCCACATGTGGTATATGTGATTTAGAATAAAAGTTGTGGAGTAAGTTTTGATTTAGTTGTTTGGGAGGAGATCCACTTACTCCAAGAGTAAGCTTAAAATACTTATTTCATATCATGGTCATCAATTCTTGAGAAATCCAATAGTTTGAATTAGTGAGTAGATCTAAACCATTAGATTTCCTAAAATTGATAGTTGAGATGTGGAGTAAGTTTAAAAAAACTTATCTTAAAGTAAATGGATATCTCCTCTAGTTGTTTGTGAAGTATGAATCTACAGTTAACTTTTTATAATGGGGAAAACATAGAGAATATAAAAACCTACTTCAATCTATATAACTTCTGTCAATAATTCCTAAAATTAAAATTATCTCAAAAACACTAAGAGTAATATTAATACAATTGTCTGGTAATAAATAACAGACAAGATTTGGAAAGGGGCTGGGAAGATGCTGTTTTGTCCATTTTGATGAAAATAGTGATAATTTGCATCTTAAATATGTGTCCCCACATCAAAATTGATTGGCCTACATTTTTTTTTCCTTCCAAATGTGTACATGTGATCTCCATCCGAATGGACAAAACTTTATTCAAATCAAATTTTATAAAATAATATTAAAATATTAATTTCTATTTATTATTTCACTTTCAATTGATTTGTGATACAAAGTGGATTGGGACATGTGATCTCCATTGGAAATAATAATTATACTATTAAGCAGCAATAGTTTCAGATATAAACGCTCCATCGAGTTACAGTGTCCCCATTAAATATAGATGCATGTAGAAAAGTCTACGGATCCTGTTCCTATGTGTGAGCCAAACCAACTGATCTTAATTGCCATTGGGCACGGATGGGGATTACCTGTTCTAAAATGGTGTCTCCATCCCTGTCCCGGCCAATAAAATATCGTCACATCGTTTAAAAAATCCACTTATTTGCATTTATTTTTTTTCTTTTTTTTTCTTGCATATTTTTCCTTTTTTCTAATTGGTTGGGACATGGATGGGGACACCATTTTGGGACAGGTGATCCCCATCCAACAGCACGGCTGAATGTATTAGAGCAAACAACTTTGGAGACGTTACATATAACCATCCTTTTGTACCATTTCCATTCAAACTTGTTGTAAGTTTAAGGTGGATTTGAAGGATTCTATATTACAAATATGATATATGAAGAGTTTGCAAATGATGAAAAATGATATATTATCTTATAAATCTTTCTAAATCATATGAAATATAACATGTGTCACAAAATCCACAATCCCAAATTTCTCAGACCACCTAATTATATTTATTCTTGCTTACCACATATGAGGTGGGTGTAAGGGAATTTTTTTGGTAGAATAGAAAATATAAAAAAAGCAATGCTAAGAAAGATCCATTTTTAGGATTGGGTGTAAGCTAAGGGACTTTACCATTATAAAGATGCATTATTAGGATTGGGAGTAAACTATCCCAAAATTGATAGAAGTAAAGATGTTGATTGGCCTACAATACATGATAAATTGGGATAGGGTAATGTGATACATGGCAACAAAAAAAAAGTTAAAGGTCATAGCACATATGCATCAAAGTGAGTCATATCAATTCGATTTTATCCATTTGAATACTTAATTTATTCTTATTATTATTTAAAATTCAATCATCCTCAACTTAACAACACATGTACATGCAGCTGATGAGAGCTGTGTCAATTTAGAGTAGTGGCTCCAGAAATTGTGGGTTCCCCTTTTAGAAATAACTCAATTCGTCAACAATTGTGCCAGATATGCATTAGAGGCGTAGTCGTTGAGAAAAGGATTCATATAAAATTAAACTTTCATTTTTAAAATAAACATATTAACTTTAAGCTGTTATTGTATATACTATATATGCATTTAAACTATCAATTTTCAAAGATAGTGCAATTTAATACCGTCATATAACAAAACGATTAACTAAAGAAGATCGATAAGCACGCGCATGGTTTTGAGTTTCATAAAAGTACACACATATATATATTTCATAAATTGGAAAAGAATGAAAGTAGAATCATCAAGCCCCAAATCAGATATTTTTGAAAATACTAAATTATTATTTACACAGATATTGTGGTCCAACAATGGCATGATGTGCTCCAAAGGACCAGATTAAGGTTTATGTTTGGAAGAATGTCATAATGGGGTTGCAAAACTAGAGAAAATACACAGGGTCCTTCTCATTAACTTTAATTAGCTATCATCATTAGTCACTTGGAAGAATTATAATTATCTACATATGTTCTATATAATTATATACTTAAAAGTTAAATATAATATTAGTGGAGAAGTGAACCATTTTTTTTAATTTGTATTATTATAAGCTATAAAGTAATGTAACTTGTACAATTTTGCCTTGAAAGGACACCTGAGTGCTAGCTAATCCCAATTTTAATATGCACTAATTCCTATCATTACTCAACCATTCCCCATTTCACCCATTCAAATCTAGTGTTATAAAGTGTTGAAAAGTTAACAAAGGTGTTATTACACATACAGTTAGATTTGAACTCAGAACCTCGTTTATTAAATTATTTATATAACCAATCAAATTTCATATAATTATATTAAAATATTAATTTCTAATTTTTTTAGTTAAATAAAGCTTTTTAATTAGTTTGGTAGAGAAAGTGAGAGATGTGATCATCATCCCACTTTATCCATCACATCATGCTATTACTCCAATAATTTACAAGCAAGTACGAAAGTACCACATCAGAGCAGTTCTGTGATCTATATAGCTCCACCCCTTTATAAATTAATAAAGGTAAATTACAAGACTTGCATGTGACATTTTGTTATTAGATTTATCCTTTGGGTCCTCTTTTCTCTTTCTCTCTCTCATCTTTAATTTACATTTTAAACATAAACTTATGAGCCTAAGCTGGCCCATGTGAACTATTATCTGTACTGTTAATCTTTGATCACTGCAGTTCATGGAGGCTGAAAATGTGACCCACAACTCCATTCATTTTCTTTTAAGCTGGCCCAGAAAAAAGTGTCAGATCATAGTTACCTTGTGCACCCCCAGATGGGTATGCCTTTTCATGATTAAAAGAATTCAATTTTATAGTGCAGTGTCTTTCTGATTGTGGCTATGACTTTAATGACACTACTATTTGGCTATGACAAACTTTAGTGACATCTCATAATCCCAAATGCATAAAATAATAAAATTAATTAAAATTAAAAAGATGAAAAACTCTCCATCCATCCACTAACAAACTTCCTTGTCTTGTCTCATTCAACTGTGTCCACTGAAGGAAGTTTATTTGTAGTAATCTCATAACCGTTATCTCCTTCTTCGTCTTTTTCCATGCTATCTCCATCTTCTTCACCATCATCCTTATCATCTTCCATGCTATCTCCTTTTTCTGCATCTTCCCTCACTCTTTTTTTATCTCCATTATTCTCAGTCAACTCATTCTCAGTGGGTGGCCTCCATTGCTGTTCTGGTTGCACCATCAATGGTTCCATCATCTCATTTGGCTTCATATTGTTGAATCCAGAAGCAACAACACCAAAGGGGTTCTGATTTTTGCTCTTTTCTTGGTATAGAGCTTCAAGCTCTTCAAAATAGGGGCATGTCTTACTATCCTCCCGCCTTTTCTTGTTACTTTCCTTCACCTTTTTGAAGTACTTATTGATGTTTTCCCATTTCTCCTTGCATCTCTTAGCATTCCTAGTGTACCCAAGCCTTTGCATCCAAGCTGAGATATCCTCCCACAGTGGAGCTTTTGGTGCATTCTCTTGATACTTAGCATCAAGACTCGTCCTAAGCCTTATCAGAGCTTGAACTTCTGCCTTTGGCCACCTTGAAGAAGAGTTTAATGGACGTCCACCACTACTGTTACCGTGATTCATTTTCTGGATTTCAACGTTGTTGTTAATCACCATCAATGGCAGTTGATTCATATGTTTTTGTTGTGGCTGTGGCTGTGGCTGTGGTTGTAATACTTGTGATACCGGTGGAAGTGACGGTAGAGGTGATAATGACAGCGATGATGTTTGTGTTATTTTTGCAGAAGTTGTCTGGTCAACAAGTTGTGTCGTCAGATTATGCCCACCAGATAACTTTTGCAAGAATTTAACAATTGCAGCATCTTTTGCTGCTGCGGTTGTTCTTTCTTGGGCAAGAAGTTCACGTTCTCTAGTGATCCTTGCCATTTGTTCCATCCTCCAAGCGTCTTGTTTTGTCACGTATTCCTTCTCCCTTGTGTCTATCATTTCCAAGAACTTCTTCTGCATCTCCTCTTGCTTGGCCAAGACCTGTCTCGTCAGCCTCAGGAAGTAATCCTTCCGTTTCCTCTTCTTTCTGTACTTCTCTTCCAAGTCTTCATCCGAAGCCGTAGAAGATGTTGAAGATGCGTTGATGAAAAGGTTTGTGATATTGGGCAAAGAATATGAAACAGTGTTGTTGTTATTATCATTGTTAGGGTTGGTTACCACAGTTTTTGTTGTGCAAGTGATATTGGTTTGTGATGGTGGTAGTGGAGGAGGAGAAATGATTGTAGGGTTTGTGGATGGAAAAGTGGTGGTGGAAATCAAAGGGATAGATGCAACAGTATCACTGGAAATGTTGTTGTTTGTTGTTGACAAAGTAGGTTGTGGTTGTGGTTTTGGCGGGTAAGAAGAGACACTTAATTGTTTCTCAAGGGCTTGTAATTGATCAAAGAATCTGTATGTTTTTCCTTCAGATTTCCCACTTCTGCTCTCTTTTGTTCTCTTGTGGTACTTGAACACGTTCTCAAATTTCTCCTTGCATTTCTTTGCGCTTCTGTGATAACCAAGATCTGCTAGTTTCCTGAACATAAAATATATAGAAGGGAGAGAGAGAGAGAGGGGAGAAACAAAAGAAAAATGATAAAAATAAAGTTTATTAT